CGTATATGTGGCGTACCAAAATTGATATCACCACTCAGGTTCTTTCTGCCAGCTTCTTGGACACTGAAGTTGCAATAGATGTCGATCACAAAATAATCTTCTTGCGGTTCCAACCACAGCAGAGTAACTAAGTTAACTAACTAGATTAATTATACACCTGTAAGAACTTAATACAACCAAATACTCCAATCAGAAATACAATAAACAAATAAAAACACAGTACAAATACCGTAGGATACATACGTAACACAAGATACGGAATTGGTCTATGACGTCACAGTCATGAACTATTTACTTATAATGGGATACTAAAAACCGGGTAAAACATACCTAGATATACATAAGAATAACTAGTATGACACTAAAGATACAACACAAATCCTATCTTATCGACAAACACGTAATATACATGGAAATACGCATAGAAATCACACAGGAAATAAACTGCGAAAATAGACTAGTTACGGAAGTGTTAAATACAAGCTAACTAGTGAACAGAGCTATGCCAAACTGGAGAAATAGTAAACCTGTACTACTAATATCATTTTACAACAAGAATTACACAGATTAACGGCACTAAACACTATAATAATAACCTAAAACACAGAGGAAATTCCACACTGCCGGCACTCTGACAAACCAGCTAAAAGAGAAAGTTACACAGTTGCTCACTAATGACTCAAGTGGTAAGAATAAATATGGGCATACAGAATAAAACAGAGTTATAGACGTGGTCGTCTCAATGGTGTGGCAAATAATTTTTATTTATTTTTTATTTTTTTTTATTTCTACCAGTATGTATTTTATCGCGTTCTTTTTATAGAGGACTTGCACAGGTCACGTGACTTTGTTACTGGACGGCAATAAAACAAAAACGTCCATTTGGCTCCTGTCAGTTGCAAGTCGGATTATACGTTTCCGTTTTGTTTGGCTGTTGAAAATGGTTATTTCGTATTGTTTCGCTGGCTGTACGTATAGTATAGACAACGAAATGGATCTTCAGTTATATTCTACTGTTTTCAAAAGATCCGGAACGTCGCGCAATGTGGACTGCTTGGTGTCAAGTCCAGAAGCCATCTCACTTGTGTTTCACTGTTTGCGGACAGCACTTCGTTGATGGTGAGTCATAATGTGCCGTTATCATTTTTTTAAATATTCATAAGCTCCTTCATTTCAATGGAAAGCAGATGACAAACTACTGTTATTGGTAGGCCTAGGCGTAGGCCTACTTGCAGACTTGACTCGTGTAAGGTATTGCTCAATAATTGCCATAAGGTATTGTTTCCCTAGTTAGCAGGTAATCTATTAGTAAGTGTGAAAAGTTGAATAGATAACTAAAGTTTAACGCCAGTGCTAATGCAAAAAAATAACCAGAATTCAATTGAATTCTCCATTCAAGAATACGCTCGCCACCGCATATCTGATCCCCCTGGGAGTTTCACAGGTTCCAATCCCATGCGGGAATAGTTATGTGAGAGGGGATTGCAGCTCTCCTCCCACTGAGGGTGGTTCACAAGACCGCTGGTCGATTACGACATCCCCCACCATCAAGTCCATGCTTCTAAAACAAATAACTGGCTAACTAATCCGACATAGAATGGTAATCGTACGATGTTGCACCTTGCATCTGTCCCCAACCTCAGATAAATTCTATCCTAAAAACTACCCACATTGGTAGGCATAGTTGCGTTTTAAATTGAAAGAAATCTTCATTAATGGTCAGAAGGTGTTGTCTGATTGTTTTGTTAGTTAGCAGGTAATTTATTACTGATCTGATACACAAACTTGGCACTGTCAAATGATGATTAGTGTTTAATTTATTTTCAGGAAAAAGGGAATATAACCCATTATCAGCTGCTTATATGTCCCATCGATATTTGAATTTTCGCCATCCCCAGAGAGGAAGAGAATAGTTAGAAAAAGGGGGATTTTGAAGAAAGGCAAAAGACAGGACCATTTCAACAAATTCTGTTGACTTGTATGCGTTGCAATATCAATTCGCAGTTGTTAGCATAAACATTTAATGTGTCTTTCGACTAGACCTATCACACTTTAAAAAAAAAGCCGCCTACACCCCTTTTCACTAGAACCATAATACTGTAAAATATTTGATAGAAATTACCCCCGAGGCATCATATCTTTCATTTGAAAGGGCTGTGGAGTCAGATACATTTTTTACTCTAAATTATGGAATGTTACTTCCAGGTTATCTTATCCTTGCTTATAGATATCTTGAGGTTAGTGACTCCAACTGACCCATGCATGCCACACTGAAAATTCGGGGCTCCCGAAGTATGCGAACCAAGATGGCGGACATCGGAAAGTAATATGTGTACTAGGTTAGGGTTAGGCCATAATTTTAGGTATAAATACTACGGGAGGATCTTGGCTAGTCTTCGAACTGATAATAAGACTAAAATAAGGAAAATTGGAAAAAAATTATCGCCTAACCCTAACCTGTTACCCATGTTACGTTCCGATGTCCGCCATTTTGGTTCGCATACTTCGGGAGCACCAAAAATTCTCTTGTGTATCCATAAAATAAGGCTGTTGGAGCCTTCAGACCCTGAAAACAGTCGAATCTGAGCACGATGGATTCATGTGAAACACTTAATATGCATTTAGAGGCAAAAATATCCCATCCTGAGCAGCACCGATCTACAACCTCCTGCCTATGGAATCAAAACATTAGACAAATTGGTGTACTGTGCGCATTCACAAATCTTTGCGAATCAAGTGTGCCTTTTGACTAAAGAAAATTTGACATTGAAATGGTCAATCTCAATATCATCCTAGTATCTGCAGATAAAACCAAATGTTTTTTAAAAATACATTTTTGATGTGCTTTATTTTTCAAATATAATTTATAATTACTGTTAAGTGTGTGATACATTTGGTACCATGAATACCATTTGCAAATTAGCTTGGGTTATACCTCTCTCAAATAAAAGTTTAGACTCTTATAAGTCATATCTCATAATATTCTTTAAAAAAAGGTTGCGGCTAGCCGGCTACCCATCAGAATTTCCTTTCAGATCACAAAGTCTCAATATTACGCCTCGCTAAGTTTCATTGGCAACTGTATCTGGTTGTAGTATCGGTGTCCAACTTTAGACTGAAACCTTCACTACCAGACCCACCGAAACAAATTTTCTTCCTAGATAGGGTCGTCTTGAAGTTGCTTTCGTTAAAAGCACAATGGACACTTTATCTCCGCCAATCCACAGTAATCAAAAGTTACTTTGTCATTACGATAAGCATCAATAAATGGATACTGAAGATGTATTATCAAGTCACGCAAGCTGAAGTCTTGTGCCACTGTGGTCTTGTTGCAACTTATACTTTGCCATCCATCTATTCCATGGTCGCACTCATATCTGTAAGATAATGGATACAGATAGAGTTTTCATAAAATCTAACGATCAAGGAGTGTGAAATTTATGTCCATATCCCACCACAGCCACTAGTCGTAACTGAATTAGATTCCGGGTAGCATATCTTTTTTACCAATGACAATAAAAAGACATTTTGGATCAGTTGTACAAGCACCATTAGGATAAGATTTATCTGGGGGGTGGAGGGGACGGGAGCCAGTTATTTGTTTTCAGAAGCATGGATTTGGATGGTGGGGAATGGTCAACCACCCTCGGTGGGAGTAGAGCTGCAATCCTCTCGCACATAACTATCCCCGCATGGGATTGAAACCAGGGTGATCAGAGATGCGGCGGCGAGCGTATTCCTAGATGGCGAATTCAATTGAATTCTGGTTATTTTTTGCATGACCACTGGTGCTAAACTTTAGTTATCTATTCAACCTTTCACACTTAGTAATAGATTACCTGCTAATTAGTGGAACAATACCTTATAGCAATTGATTATTAATTCCTTACTGTCTTACACAAGTCAAGTCTGCAACTGCAAGTAGGCCCACGCCTAGGACTACTAACAACAGTAGTTTGTCATCTGCTTTCCATTGAAATGAGGGAGCTGGTGAATATTTAAAGAAATTGATTACGGCACACTATCACCACATTATCACTCACCATCGACGTCCACAAACAGTGAAACACAAGTAAGATGGCTTCTGGACTTGACACCAATCAGTTCTGCCAATAAGCAATAGATGATATCCACATTGCGCGACGTTCCGGATCTTTTGAAATCAGTGGAATATAACTGAAGATCCATTTCCTTGTCTATACTATACGTACAGCCAACGGAACAATACGAAATAACCATTTTCAACAGCCAAACAAAACGGAAACGTATAATCAGACATGCAACTGACAGGAGCCAAATGAACGTTTTTGTTTTAATGCCGTCCAGTAACAAAGTCACGTGACCCGTGCAAGTCCTCTATATTATAACTTCTCAATGGTTGTGTGTGTGGGTGAGCGTGTGTGAAAATAATTCAATCATTTTAGGTGAGTGAACACGTACCACTATTCTTGGCAAAACCTATCATCTTAAATACTGTACGTTTTAAATCTTATCTAAGGTTTGGTTTGCTCTCCTGATTTTATAATCAGTTTTTATTTATTTGTTTTTATCAAAGCATTTTATTGTTATGCTGATTATGGAGTCGAAACAAACTTATACCCATAATATCACACCGATATAGACTGGGAATCGGGCGACAGGCCGTGGTACGCTATATGATTAGGCTGTATAATAAGACGGGTTTCTCTCCCCGGGATAAATGTAAAAAATCCTATCCTAATTGTTTTTTGACCTCTGATCCCCTTCACATGTTTCACAACTGTATCGCAACATCCGGGACTTCCATGGTGTCAATGTTGACAAGTTTCACCATGTGTAATCTGCCAAAAAAATTGATATCAGACGCAAAAACTAAGTGTTACCATTTTTATTTTACTAAATTATTTTACATTGGTTGATGAAGAATATTTTAAGTATAGCGTATATAATAATTAGAATTTGCATTTAAATTACTGTCGTTCTTAATTTATTTGCTTTTTCTTGTATTTTATGTTTTGTCTATGGCAAAAAATATTCCAAATGTCCTGATACTTTTGAAGATATTTTGCGTGTGGGAAATTTTTTCCTAAATTTTTTACATCCGATTCTGTAATGGCGGAACCTGTCTTTTTCTCCTAGCTCGCCTGAAGAGTAACAATGCCGGTAAGATTTGGTGAAGATTTTGACTAAAATTGTTTTAAATCTAGGATAAATGGCCTGTTGTCAGCGATTAATGGAATAATGAAGCTGTAAGGTAGGCTATACGGACTATCAAGGTACTGTATCATGTTAGCTGGCAGCGTTTTCTCATTGGCAGGGAACGGCAAAATTCTCATATATATTTTTTTGTTTTCTACTCGTAAAGCGGCATCAATGCTGCAATGCCTAATTTGTGTTCGATGGTAACTTTATGCAGTATAGTATTAAATGAAACCATTTCGGGCGATCGTGATTATACTTTGGCAATCCCTATGACGTGTTTGTGACGTCGTATTGGCGTAATTTTTGGATGGCATAGTCAGATGGGGGTTAGGAATAACATATGCAAAATTCGTTGTGATATGCCAACTGGAAGTACTTGTGGTACTAAACTATACTAGACCCAATTTCTCAACCAAATTTCCAAACTAGCCCCCATATTGAAAGACATCAATTGTAAGAGTGAGTGCAAACCCCTCGTTTACGAAATAGTCCGAGCCTCGATTTGGACTCAAAACGGCAAACTGACTTTGTGCAAAAAACTAAAATCTCGCATCAAAAGTTATTAGCAAGCAAACACAATTTTGGCAATGTGACTCTATTGATACAATTTGTTAAAGAGACAAGCTTTGCACGATCCATAAGGCTTCAATCCTTCAACTTCAATTTACTGTATTTTAACCGATATTGAGGCACAACAATGTCTAGACGTCCCCGAGAGAAAGGGTGTCTGTTTATCATTAAAATGAGATTGTTGCTCGATTTTTAAAGTGTACCTTACTGCTTTAATGTTGCAATTCGGTAACGACCAAATCTGCCTTCTTATTTGCAGGATGTGTTGCTTAGAGAGTTCATTATCATTTTTCTCATCTGAAACAAATGTTTCTTTTTATTTTAAAGTTGGCAAGAGATTTACTCCATCCCTCCCCCGAGGAGGAAAAAAGATGTCACAAGAAGAAAAGATTGGTTCAATCACCAAACTCGTATTTCATGGATGTAAAGTGCCCAGGTAAGCATAGTTAGAAATATGGGTGCATGTACACTGAACGACGTAAGTATTTCTATTTGGCGTGACACAACCATTTTTGCATATGTCATTACTAAGCCCCACCTGACTACGTCATTCAAAAATTACTTTACTATGACATCACAGTAGCCTAATAAAGCCCTCCAAACTATACCAACTATCCTCAAAGATGTGTGGACGATGACCTTAACATGAGCAGGCTATTTCTCCCGTTTCTCATCGTAACGATCCCGATAAGAGAGAGAACGTTGGCGTTAGTGAATTCCTTATCGTTGGCGAAGACGCCATTTCGGGCGATTGTAGCTATATTTTGACAAGCAACTTGATTGTGGGGTTGTAGTGATGTAATCTTTAGATGACAGAGCCAGGTGGGGGTCACGCCAAATAGAAGTACGTTAGTTGTTTATGTTTTCATCAATAGTCTTGCCATTTCTGGTCCAAGTCGTGCCAAATTTCAAATATATAGCGTTGATGTAATTTTAGATCTAGACAAATCCTTATAACAGTATAAGCACCGTTCGAAGTACGCTTGCAGTACTGTAAAACCGGGCAACTTCTGGGCAATTTGAAGATTTCTCATGCTGATATTTGATATATATAAACACATTATTAGGAATATATCCCCTGCCCATAGATTTCAGTCCCTTTACACAACTTGATGTAAAGTAAACAAACAAAATTAGTTACCTCCATATTGGTACACATACTTCTGGTGTGCCAACTATTCTTGTATGTCTTTGATTGTCACTTATCTACGCTTATATGTAAGTCATTGATGAATTTTTATTTCAGGTTGCTATAAGATTACGACGGTATTCAGTCACGCTCAAACAGTGGTGCTGTGCGTTGGATGCTCAACTGTTTTATGCCAACCAACTGGTGGAAGGGCGAGGCTTACAGAAGGTCAGTCGTTGTTTACTTACTACCAGTGTTCGCTATTACCTTATTTTTTGCAAAAACTGCAAGGCACTTTCGCATTTTCTTGGAGATTGAAATCAGCATTTTTTTGGTTTTCAAAGACTGCAAAATTGTCATTTCTACTTGTTTGAAAAGAAAGATTTCAAGTTGACAAATAGTACTTGCGAGTATTTTCATAGAGCAATGTTGTATTTAGGGATGGGCAATGTAGAATAATTTACTATTCTAGAATATTCTAGAATAGTTAAATCGAATCCAGAATACCGAATCCTATTCTATTTTCATACTCATTCAAATAGTGGGAATTTCCACATTGCTGGATTTAGAAGTTAAAAAATTGCAATGTATTACTTACTATAAATGTATTATTTATTTGGAAATGTCCTGAACATTGGATTTCATTTGATACTAAACAGGCAGTTCCCAGGACATTAAATTTAGGTATATTACAATATTTTTTGCCCTCAATTGTTCCAAATGTATGTAATCCCTAAATACTAATAAATACTGATATGCTAAACTAAGACACGCTTTACGCACTTTAATAGTAAGCGGTTAAATACAAAATAGACATGAAACGGCGTTAAATCATATTAATGTAAGTCTGTCCAGTGGTGGCCACCTCAACCTATGCGCCGTTGTAAAATATTAAATTTAACCACTACCAATTAAAATCAACTTTTTATGCTGTGCGAGCAAGACACGTAAAACCAAGTTCCCGTAAACGCGATTTCGTACTTGGTTATTAGGTAATAACATCTAAAGACGAACTCATTTTCTATGATTATCTTTACATATCATTAACTACCCAGACTTGGCCCTACTCAAATTCAATACGTCACTATCTTCGCCAGATGTGGCAACTTTTTTCAAAATTTATCGTTGACTAAAATACTACAGACACTCGATCAAGCGTGCGTCTGGAACGATGGAAACGGACCGAAAAATATGTAATCTTTTGAGAGTGAAATTTAAATGTGACAGATGTTCGCGTTTTGCGATATAACTTTATATTTAGGAAAATGGTATAATAAAATTATTAGTAAATAATATTTGATCGTAAGTTATGTTATAACATTTGACGCCTGGCTTTTGGTTTACGTGCATCATTTTTTTGGAAAACTCGTAGGTCGCGAAAAATCACTTAATCACTTAATTAATAATTATCGGAATATCACCAGTGAGTCGGCACAAATAACGCTAGCTAGATAGCAAAGAAGGAAAACGCAAAAATGGTGCAATAACGAGTCTTCGCCGTGAGGTTATATTGCCGACTTCTTGTCCTGAATATGCCGATTGAAATTACAGTGTTTGATGTTTACCGATTTACGGGTTTAATTAAACCGACGCAAGATTAATTAAACGAGAGAGATTTCCACGCGAGAAAAACGCTCTATAAACGCTCTTCTATAATTGATAAATTAGAAACCCGAAATACAAAAATTGGCGCATGGCGCCGGAAAGGCGAAACCGAATCCTGTTATCGGATCCCGTTGGATTCGAATACTTTGGGATTCGAATCCTCGGGATTCGGTATTCTATATTGCCCATCCCTAGTCTCGCGAAATTTTATGAGATCAGCGAACCGGTTAGCATTACTGGTTACTGTCAATGTTCTGTTTGTAGCAGAACCGGCTGAAAAATATGACCTCTGTGATGGAATCGGCTGACTAAAAATTCGAATCCCACCACTGGTTATATCCAGACAATATGCACAAATTAATATAGAATCTCTGATTTGAATGGAAACTTGCGGAACCCTGAACTGCATTGCAGGGCCCTGGTTGAAAACCTCTTGTATAGATATCTGTTTTAAAAGTGCAACAGCCTGAAAGTTTATCACATTTGCTTCTTTCCTGACCCTTATGATCCAAACTTATTCATAGTTTTTGCTCACTCTCCAAAATTCTCCTTTTTTGATTTGCATGTACAGTTAGTTCTTGTTCAAAACGCACAATCTTTATTGTTTGTCTGGATTGTGCTAAATATGAAAGCAAATATGTC